TTGTGAAGCTTCTGAATCATGAAAAAGAAGTCTTTTCTGCAATCTGCATTTCTCCGCTAACATTAAATCTACTTTAATTAATTAAATAGACTGCACAAAGATAAGTAAAGTATTTTAATAATGAAGAGTAGTTGTTAACATTCCAGTCTGTGAATATTATTTCAATATTAGTATTATTATTTCCGTACTCCATTTTGGTTTTACATATTTTTTAACATTGTTATGATATGTTTAAAGAACTTATATATATAATATTGTAAACAGAGTTCTGAGTACCAGTCACCTGTCTAAAGTGATCTGAGAATGCGTTCACTAGACCGGAAAAACGTCATAAAGGTTACTTTGAAAATCAGCTAAAGGAGGTAGTTTGACATATTTGCCCATTAGGAATATATTGTAATAAGAGCACTGCATATATATATGTCTTTCCTTCTTCAGATAAATAATGTTGGTAAATAGCACTACAATCTATTTATATTATTATTTAGAGAAGGATAATTTAAAACCACTCTTAAGTCACACCGTGGATGTAAAAAGGGAGGTATTATAAGTTTTATAGATCTATGGAGGGTCTGTGTGTTCATTAGAGACATCGTAGCTACCTAACGAAACGACCGAAATTACCTAAACGAAAGGACCGATTTGGTGCGATTTTTTTGCCAATTAGCTATGACTTATTAGAGGTTATTTTTTATTCAGAGATTATTTAAAAGTTTTAATTATGTACATAATTATGTCCTCTTGCTATACTAGCATACCTGCTAAACTTCGTCCGCGTCATATTTTCTCCTTTTTTGCGCAATATATTTCGATGCTGTTTAGTTAATGTTACCTATATAGCCTCGATTCTCGACAATTAGGCTTATCCTACACTAAAGGAATTTATCAAATCGATCTAGTAATTTCTGACATTAGCGAGGTCAACCAAATTTGTATATAGGATTATATTATAAAAAAATTACATGTGCTATACAGTTTAATGCCATTAGTACTCTGTACCAGGCAACCATTGGGAGAGTGGGAATATCTCTGATTACTTGCGCTGGTTTGCGAGTTTAAATAAAAACTTTGTTAGTTAGCATGATACTTATTCAACTTTAATTAAAGTTTGCTATTAAGCAATGCATACAGTGATGCAGCTCTCTATTCATGCAGTTCAGTTAAAATAGTTTGATAGCGCCGTGGACTGAGTTTTACTTTTTACCATTTAACTACGAATACGTAGCACTTTCCGATGTCTATTTTGTAGTTCGTATTTCAATTCGAAATAATTTCGAACTGCATGCGAGCTGCAGCTTAATTCTGCTCACTTACATCGTATGTCGAGAGTTTATCCTCACATTGTCTGTGAAATTTTAAATTGACATATTGGGTGTAAAACATTTCCATTACATTCGAAAGTTTCAAGCTATTGCTGTTTTTTATACAATTGTAGAGACAACAAATGTAGGCAGTAGTTAAAAATAAACATGGTTTATCGAGTTTAGATTAGTGTAATTAAAGCTCTAACAGACAGGTAGACTCAACTAATTGTTCTTAATTTATTTTTCTGTTTATTATACTATTATTAATATAAATGTTCGGATTGTTGGATGTACCGAGGATTGTTTAGTTAGTGTCATGTAGAAATAACAGCATACTATATATAGTTACATATGTCTTTTTTGTCTATATACAGTACTATATATGTCTTTTTTTTATTTATTAATTTGTCACAATATCTCGAAAGTAACTAACTGCGTTGAATTAAAAAAATACAAATATATTATCTAAAAATTAAATCTACCTAATCTAATCTAATCTAATGTGTGAAGTATATATTATATTGTTTGTGTGGGTTTGTTACATCAAAACGTTTGTTTATCTAACGTTGGTATACGTATATGTACCTAGTGTACCTAAAGGAAGTTCGGCCAAAGCGCACATCTTAACCTTTGGCGGCGAGTGGGAAGATATCCGTTAGATACAGAAATAATATAATGATAGAATATTAATCATTATTTATGAAAGGTATAAAAATAAGCAATAAAAACTACGTAACATTCTTTTATTGAAAATATATTAAATGCTTTATAGCTAAGCTCTCCAAATATAGGACTTAGGCTCTTACAATTGCGATATGATACCATGTCGTGTTCATATTGTCATATTGTGTAGAATAAATAGTTGTTGCTTTAAATTTATTTTCCTTAAATATCTTAAATTAATATTTATGTTATTTATTTTATTATTTCACTTTGGTTAGTCTTTCACTATGTATTTTAGTAATTTTGTTTTTGCCTTAATATATTTAGTATTTATAGTCCATAACCACAAACTAAAATTATTAAATAACGCTTACAAATGAGCGTGTAGTCGCAAGTTCCATTATAAGTAAATTACAATGTAACGTATCATCTCAGAGATAATATATTATATACCTACATGAATATTTGTAAAATTAAATTGAATGACAATCATTGGCATGTCAATTCAACAACAATCTGATTTATCCGCTTCCGTGAATGTTCATCAATAAATTAATTATCTGTTTCAGCCAATTGTGTATTTACAGACATAATTAGCACTGGAAATTGTACAAATATTAATTGGGCAGCCCTGAGGTGTACACTGTGCCTATTTGCCATGAAATTATTCGTGGTATGCCTCGATGAACAATAATATATTAACAATAAGCTTAAATAGTACAGTTGGTATTCAGAATTATTGTAATTCATATATTCTACTTATTAAATGATTGCGATAAAGCAGCTACTAAATGCAACAAGATTGTTACAATACATTTGTAAAAATCAACTCAGTTAATATATTTCTGGATATGCGCACAAAAATTAAGAAGCCGAAATTATGAAACAATTTATAAATCCGTTAAAATTAAATATGTATAACGTAACGTGTATCAGTTGGTTTTAGTAATTATTTCTTACACAGAGACGGATCCTTGTCGATTTCATTACTTACATAACAAAGTGTTCAAATATGTTTTCGATTTATTCCATGTGAACGATGAAACTTAATCACGGGCGTATAAAAATACGTAGTTTATTATTGTATATATTTCAATATACATTGGCAATATTAATTAACCATTTGTTTTCTATATCAAGATTTATTTAGGTACATACCAGAGATAAGTAAATAAATTTCGTAATTGTAGAAGATGTTATATACCAGAGGTATACGATAGATGATAGAGATTAATGCTTAAATTTATGGTAAATTATTTATTATCAGGGAATTCGCCTCTATATAGATTTTCACTACTATAGCCCCTTATAGATTAGCGGTTGAGATAAAACATGCGTGTCAAATTCATTAACATCTGTTCAGACATACTTTCACATTATTATGTAGTATCAGATACATTAACCATCTGCATAGTAATAAAATTAAAATTATTTTCATACTAATATATGTATTAGTTCTCTAGTTACCTACACCTTATTTAATAATCTCGCTATAAGACCAAAATGATTGACGCCAGTTTACAAAGGTTGCTACAGCAAAATGCGCGTCACGTACCTACGTATAAATCTGAAATGATTTACTCTATGCTCCATTTTCTGCCGCCATCTTACATCTAAGAATATGGATTGCAAATAACTAAAGAACCAATTTGAATATTTCATACGAAAAATTAATTTTCATACAGAAATTATAATAGATACGATAAATCGGATGTAAGCTGTCATTTATTCAATAAAAATATTATTTTCACCTGAAACTATATTTTAATTAATTATTAATGAAGTATACAAAAAGCAATAACAGAATTAATATTCAATCATTGTAAGTAAAGATATAATAATTTAGTTCGTTATTTTATCTCTTACATTGCAACAAGAATTTGCTGCAAATTTAAATATAGAAGAGTTAAAGCATTAAGTATTCCACGTAGATTGGATTTGTAGTGACGTAATTATATCTCCTATTTACTGTATTAGCTATGTAGTGTTCGGTTGATACCAGACTGTCAAAGGGTGGAGGTAAATACAGCTACTGGCAACCGGCTTGCCAGACGCTGTCGGGACATGTTAACTAAATACGAGTATGTGCAGTGGATCCCTATCTGTTCTAAACAATTGTGATACCGACGTCGATGTAGCCATAGCAACACAATTGCATTGTAGCGCCAATCTATACAGTTAATGTACTATAGGCCCTTCAGATCGAACACAATAAATTGCTGCAAATTTATAAGGCAAACGTCAGTACGTTACGAAGGTTATGCAATTTACTATCGTGTAAAATTTATACGGCAAATTGTAACGGGAATTGCTGTGTTTATTTCTTTCTTACGATATTATTAGTGAAATTCATACTAATATTGTAAATGCGAAAGTATATATTTTTGGCTTTGTCTTTTTTATATTTTCACGAATGAACAACTAAGCAAAAATCTTTATGAAATTGGACGTCAAGATCGACAGACTCATGACATCCGTTATATATCTTTTCTAAATAAATAATTAATCAAGAAGGGAGTGAAATATGAAGAAAAATTTGTACAGATAAAGACGAGTAGTTACAGCTAGTATTATAAATTAGGTAACTTTATCTATCGGTCTCTTTGTTACCTTGGTCTATTAAACAGCTGAACGGATTTTATTGAAATTTGACGAGAGGATTGATTTGTACTACAAAGTGGGATATACGTTCAATTTTTATCTTAAAAAAGTAGACGACGTCGCTGGTAATAATTTCATTTGTATTTATGTAGCATTTGATAGGTAATTAGTATATAAAGAAATGCAATAGAAGTAGCAAGTAAACCTTGCGCGACTGAATTGAGTTGGAAAGAAAGTTTATGGAGAAAAATAAATATTTTTAATAAGTAGATATTCAATATGATGGTTGATTTTTCAACAAGGCTCAATGCAATGAGCCTTGTTGAAAAATCAACCATCATATGTTTCAGTCAATTGCCACAATGTATTTTTTGTTTTAAGTTTTTAAAATGTGTATAGTGGAAAGGTACCTAATCTCTGTTATTGTTTCAGAGTAACTATACGAAGTTTCTGAAGAATCTGCATACGGAGCAGATCGCAAAGCTTCACGCTAAAAATCAGCATGAGTGCGATCTGTTGGAAGACCTTCGCACATATACCATCAAGCGGTCCGCTATAGAGAAGTCGTACTCGGAGGTAAGTACAAAAATGTCGTATATAGGTACCCTTATCAGTCGGTAGTGGTCCAGTTATAATACTATTTCAGCCGATTTGAAATAGAAGACAGTCGCTATACTTTCGTATTTGATATTTTTCACTCCCAAGTTGGTTTCATAATAATTGCCTCAACTTTAAAATATTATTTAAATAATAATAGTAATAATATCAAGGGCTCTATGTTGTGGTTAGTACTGAAAACAGGGTTAGATTGCTTGTCTGAATATACATATAATAACTAATATGTAATGCAAGATTTACTCGTCAAATTATGGAATATGGAATGTATACAACTTTCGTGTTGTAATATTCACACATTTGGAAATCTACAATGTTTTATATGTAAAGCATGTAAACCCATACGACTAACTATGTCGAATAAATATGCACTTTATTTCCTCAAAACAGTTAATTCTAATAGTTGCTGATTTTCGACCGGAATATATAGAAAATAAATTAAAATTGTAAGTAGGTGTATACGCCTTTGACTTACGATGTACCTCTATGTATAATGTAGCAAATTGGTATCTGTAATTGGACTTTTTCCGCAGTAAATGCACACAGAAACAATTTAAAACTTCAATTACAGTAATAGCTCAGTTCAATAACGCCAACTGAAAATGCCAAGCAAAACCAATTGACATAATTATTGAATTTAATCAATATAGGTACATGGTATTTGAAATGTGCATAATGTTATAAAATGGAAATGTTATTTGAAATACAAATTCCCAATTAATATCGAATAAATATTAATTTAACTTATTAAAATAGATTTATTAATAAATTGACGTCACTACGATAAAATATAATCTAAAATTTACGATCTGTGAGTTGTTTCCAAATCACCATAGAGATAGATCGTTAATTCTTATAATACTATTAGCACGTCTTCACAATTTAATTACTTGCTACAGTATTATTTAAGTAAACATCTTTGATAAAATTATAACAATTTTTCTATAAAATAGATTCCAATCTTATTTCAAAGAATTAAGTAAGATTTTATATTGGACCAGTAATATCATACTCATATTATAAACCTGGAAGTTTGTGAGTGCAGATGGATAAATGGATGGATGGATGTTTATTACTCTTTTACATAACGCAACGTAACTCAATTTTAATGTCACTTTATAATAATACAGCTTATACTCGAGAATAACACATAGAGTACAAATTTCATTAGGACGAAACCGCATAGCTAGTATTATATAATCCATGCAGAATGAATGTACTCGTAAATACGAATTTCAACAATGTTTAGACGCAGTATAAAGTTAGCAGCAGTAACATCCTTTCTTCTAGACGTCAACCGTATTTTTCGTTGTCCATTTTAAAAGAATCTGCACAGAGTTCTTTGTGAAGATTCTTAGACTTCGTACAACTAGAATGGAAAACTTCCTGTTCTGCTTAAGGTATCTACTACAAGATTTTTTTTGTTTAGAGTAGGACATAAAAATATTGTATTTGGTGAAATTATACATAATAAAATAATAACTCAGGACGATAATAACTCGTCTCCACAGAGCCAACTAAGCAGAGCTTTCAAGCTAAGCAGAACTTGTATTATGAGTACTTGACAACTAATAGAAATAAATATTATTTTATATATACTCATACCTAAACCAGTCAACACAAATAATCTCTCATTAATATAGATATTACACCGTGCTAAGAATCGAACACTCTATCATCGGGAGTAAAGCGGTGTAGTAAACAGCTAGATCTTCTGGATGATAATGGAATGGTGCACCCGCCTGCGATAACGATTTACGCTGGCCGAGCACCAGTGGAAGTCAACCTGACAGGGTACATTGCTAGCAATGGGATTATTAGTGCACATTACTAACAATCCCCCCAAATAATTAGATCAACGAGGCTGTTATATATATTTATAATTTATAAAAATATTTGAAGTAGTCCAATATGTTTTTCTTTGTCCTAAGTATTACTGTTTACATGTAATTATTCGTGACCATAGAAGGTTGCCTGAAACACATCGCACCTGTGGGAGTCAGTCTCACTTGATTATTTAGTAATAGTCTATTCCGCAGGTGTGTGTAGAACTTACACGGCTCTGTACAGTAATTCCCTAACTTGTGTAATTACATCTTCCAATACCTAGATCATGGTCGTTAAACTATTAATACCAACGCCTACGAGAGTATTTAAGGTACAAAAAATATAGCAAGACAGCTGGAGTTTTTGAGGTTATACAGTACTAAATAACTAAGCAAATTGTGATTTGTTTTGCCGTATTCCGAAGAATAATAATAAAATCTGTTATCAAATTCGGATAGTATAAAATTTTATGTAATAACGTACAGTTTTTCCTTATTTTTAAATCCATCTATGTTTTCTTTTGTAGCTGGAATGCTAAAACGCCCCTTAATTTTTTATTAGCCTTCTATTGCTACTTTAAAAGCTCGAAGCATCCTCAACGGGGCGTTGTCGCCACTTTGAGAAGGACTGCTATAGTCGAGTTGTGGCTTGTGGTCGCAACCGCAAACTATAAAGGAACAATTTGTGAGCAAATCAATATTTCTGGGCCAAATTACCTCCATAATGATAGTGTCTGACCCGTGTTTGTCTTTTAGTTCCTTGAATATGTACCAAAACTAAAAGATTAAACGATTTTTTATGCAATTGGAGTGACAAACATGGTGACCCTCGACCGAATGATAAGTGCTAACCGTTGCCTGTGTACATACATGATCAGCAGGCATTCAGAGGACTAAGATACGTCTTATATTGTAACTTCACTGCTTATGTTTCTTATGTTTATGTTCTTATTCAACCAAAACAAAGCGACCTGCTTGGCTTGTAATAGGTGAGCCTTAGGTACAATGGTTACTGGTGGTAATGGTTTTTACAAAGTTGTCATCAGTAAATGTTTTTTTTAAATGTACTCAAATTTTATTCGATTTAAAAAAAAAATAAACTACATTGTGGCTGTATACGTAGAGTGCATCAAAAGTATAGCATTACCTAGTTGTTCAGAACTTGCTTATTTGTTCAGACCCTTCATTACGCGAATCTAACTCGTTATAGACCGGTATTTATTATTTACAGTTCAGGCCAGACTTTTCAAGGTTTATTGGATGCACTTTTAATTCGACTGATATCATAGCGGAATATTTGATGGTAATCTTGACTGACGTGGTCACTCATATGTATTATTTATAGATTGTGACTACATTGCAAGTTGCAACATGCAATATGTGACCTTTCATAATTTCCTCAGGGTATACATCCCTTTCCCAAGTATATTAAATGTGCGCAACATAAATGAAGTCCGGCTTTGCTTTTGATATTTCGAGAAGTTTATTTTCTAGTATCTCTAAGGTATTCTAACGTTATAATAAGTTAAAGTACTAGAAAAGATAAAGATAAAACCGTAAACTGTAGGTGAACATCAAATATAATAAATAAATAGAGAGTAAAGCTTTTATTTTCCAATATAATAAAATATTACTGCTTAATAAATCAAATATAATGTATTTGATTTATTAAAATAACACCGATAATTATAAATTGGCGGAAACAAGAAAAAGTAACGGTTAATCACAGCTAAAATAAATCCGGATTTATTCTACTTATAAACACAAAAATCTGCTCAATACTACTAAGATTATGAAATAAAATAACGCGTCAAACTTATAAAACTCTTGCTTTTACGTCGAGGGTTAACAATATTTAGCTGTTGCTTTTTAATCTCAACCAGTTTGTATGGCTACCCTTATTCGAAATTCTTAACAGAATAACACACAAAGAATTCAACGGATACGTTTAAAGTGAGATTAAGAGAAATAAATCTTTCTCAGGTTTCCACAAGTGAACACTTTACGACGGGAAAAGTGGGACGCTTGTTGTAAGGCACGACTTTATGTTGAATTTCACGATAATCACTTTGAGGACATTTTTACTCAAGTCTATAATTGAAAAAGCACAATATCTCTACATTGGAGTTTAACTTTAATATTGATTTCAATCTAATTTGACCAGATTAGATGGAAGTCGTTATTAAAACTTTACAGCGAACTCATAAAATTTAGAATTATTTGTCTTTCAATTAATAAATGAATTTCTACGTATAAAAAGTGCTGTTTTGAGAATCTCATCTTAAACTCAGTTCAGTTTAAGATGAGATTCTGATTAAGATATTCGTTAAGCCGCTTAGTCAAGAAAGGTAACAAACATACAGAACAGTCACTGTTTCGCAAAGATGGGTGTTAGTCTTCAGCCGCTCCATAAGTTCTTCTGCTGGTTTGGAGTGCTATCTACTCGCCGCCTATAGTCCGAAGCTGTTAAGGCTAGCTGTGGTAAGCATTAGAATAGAACGAAAAAAACACTTCCTCTTACTATGAATGTTCACATAAGTTTAGAATTTTTGTGTGGCAATATCCAATTGTATAAAACAACTTTTTTTCTATTATTTATATTTAATTACATATAAAAGTATTTTAATAAATAATTTAAGAAATAAATAAAAAATATATTCATGAGTTCGTAATATAAAATGTGACTATTTTGTTCTAGTTTTTTAAATAGATTGAACTCATTCATTATATATTTCTAATTATTATTAAAATTGACATACTAAATGCGCACAGCATTTATAAGGGCGAAGATATTACGCTGGAAACGGTATCATTTAGTATATAATTACTATTTAATGATCCTACCTGCTATCAAAGCGATTTATATTCTGAATATGAACATTGAATATGCAGAAACTATCTGGTCATTACTAATATTATTTCATTAATATTATAAATACAAATAATTTGTCGTTTGTGTACAGACATTTGTCCGTCTAACTGTATGTTTGTTACCCTTTAACAGTTTTGTTAAATGCCGTAACGAGACGTGTAAATGTATATCACAAAAACGTGTATATTTAACTAACAAAGAAAGCAAACGTAAAGATAGTACTTTGTACTTTGTGTAGTGTAAATTCTACTAACCAATTAAATTGATAGAATACGATTCCGATATTTCTAAAAGACTGAACTAATCTATACAGAAAAATATTTGCAAGCAAAATGTGCAACGGAACATTTAAATCGGTCGAGAACGAGCTCCAGTGTAAACTTTGTTGCTTTCCCTTTTATTAAACTTTTGACGCGTTTTATTAGTTCGCAATAGATTCTACTTTCTTTAATATTGAGTTTTATTTATACGCTTTTAGTATACGTATTTAGTGTTAAATTATATATCCCACTCTGTATCGAGATATTTATTTTGACTTTACTACTGCCAAACTATACCTGAAAGAACCTTTCATCCACAGAGTCTATTTTTTATCAAAAAAAGTAGTCTAAGTCGCGGGTAACAGAAAGTCTTCTATATAATATGTAGTTGTTATCAATTTAGCGCGTAGTAAATAAGTTATTCGTTATTTGGTTAATATTTAGACCTAAATATTGTCTAAGCATCCAATGGCTACTAGAACTTTACACAACTTTTCAGAGTGGTAAATTTCATAGATAGGTATTGTCTCCATTTTGAATTTTACAAAATGAACTGACATAATATAACAATCTACGTTACGGGTAACAACTAGTCTGTTATAAAATTGTTGTTAGCAACTAGCAGTTATGTGCTACATAGTACGAAAGTTATCCGAGACTTGGAAAATATTTAGACCTAAATATTATTCAGGCATCCAATACATAGGAGCACCTTGCATAACTTATCGGGGTGGCAAATTTCATAGATATTTATTATGTCTACTTTCATCACTACAAAATTGTAACTATTATCCTTGTACGTAATAATACATTCTCTACATGTTTCACTTGTACATATTATAATACTGCTTTATTAACCATCTATTAAATTAATACACTTTACAACATCATCATTAACGTGAATGTTAGATTATACAACATAGATAACCTCAGTAAATTATAATATATAATGTAGTATTGAAATTTATATCAAATATATAGTAGTATAATTAATAATGTTCGGCTAAACGTCCTGTATTCGTATTAATTGGAACAATACCTTTAAACTGACAAATGTTTCAAATTGTTAATAGTTTATCCAAAATGTGTTATGCATTGATGTCAAAAATTTTACATAAATAAAAATAGTATTTATTTTTACTCAAAACATTGACGTAACAGACCTATTTGGGAAAATTAAGCTAAATTGTAAATTTAATGCTAAAGTACGAATTTGTGGAGAACTTGTAAACCTGTATCACGGGTTACCAGTCAATTTCATCAATTTATCAACATAATAGAATTCGAATTTACAATGGATTTAGAAAATATAATTGTATGTTTTTCTATTTTCTTACAAAGGTTATATACAAATACCAGAAATTATTTAGACAACGTTAAGTTATAAGGTATCTTATTACCACTGTAATACCTCTAATCATTGGAAATTTCATTTTCCTCATTTTTTTCTTATTTGGATGTATAAGAAATATCAATTTTACTAAAACAATATGTTGTTTGCTATATGTAAACATTTAATTGCATAAAATTCTTAGCTTTGCGCTAAGTCTTATAGACTGAAAGCAAGATACCTCCTCGTCTGCGTTAAGTATTTATATTTATGTGTTATTATATATACAATATTTAGCCAATTTTAATAGGTCCAACTTTTAAATGTTCCTCCCGATTATAAAGTTGGTAGCAATTTGAGTAGCCAATATTTACCTGCTCAAATTAAGCGCCAATTTTAATGGGATTTGGTTTGTACTGGTATAACATAAATAGAGATAGGAAGGCTGGTATTAGTATTTGTGTACCAACATGTTACACACTTTTATCAAATGAAATAAGAATTACTACAGGCTTTTCCGTTTACATGAAGTACGTTTATCTATTTATTCCTATAATCATTCCAAATCCCTTGCGCGTGTTTAGATGGTAAACTTAATAAATATTGTTGTTACCTAGAAATAATTAAATGCCACTGGAGTATCATAGGTGTATCTTATGTAGCATTCTTTATTATTATATATTAATTTTATAGAAAAGAATTCCAAAATACTTAACATTATAAATATTTTTAGATAAACTACACAATATATATACGACGATAATAAAATCGTAAACAACGAGTAACATTGTCATGTATGTTTCATAATATGTTATACATAGGTACATACATACTATATTGCGATTACATAAATTCTATATAAATTGGTTTTTCCAATATCTATTTAAGCTGTTCTTGAAATATTTTAATTCAATAAATCAAGTCAAAGGTTTGATTGATAAAAGTTACCATTCAAAAGTATTCTCGACTACTCTTCGCTATTCATTTTGAATGAATTTCTAATTAGTTACACCATTCAAGAAGAAACTCTAGGTAAAATATTGAAATTAATATTTATTATAGGTACAACACTCTCCGTCAATATTTTGTGGATATGGTAATATCCGTATGTACTGTAGCGGGGATAAGGATTTCTAAGGATTCTAGCATATGTCATAACATAAGCTACGAAGGGGTGTCACGACATTATCTATTTTTTTTTAAATAAACTGCATCGCATAAATTAGTAGTATAAAAACGTATTTCTTTAAATTTATCCATTATAAATAAAAATCCAGAACTTTTGTGTGTATATTAGTATGTATAAATAACGTTGATTATGTAATAATCCTATTTTCGCTATTGAACTGTTTTGTCCTTTACGTCCTTTGAAACGTGACAAAATTTGTACAATTATAAATATATTTTTTACATAACGCACGCAAAATTTTGTCGGCAAATCTTGCCATTGGTAGAATGATAATAATCTTTTCTAGAATATCATTTTCACTAAACCTGAAAAGATTGTAAGCGACATTATTCAACTACAAGGAAAAGCAGACGTTAAATGCTTATGCTTGAAGTGGAAAGTACGGCTACAAATGATATTTTTTTTACAAATAGGAACAAATGCCTCGTACCTAAAGGCTGCTTTCAAGTGTAATGAGAGACGTCAAAACAGGCGCATTTGCTGTTTCACATTACTTCTGTAGTATCATTGCCTCAGCGTATACCAGCTATTTTATGACTGCGATGAAATAATGTCACGTTGTTTTGTGGCTTCGTGAATAATGGTGTGTAATGAATAGCCAACCAATGAAAGAACGTTGGATGTATAACGAAACGCTCATTAAACAAACGAACAAACATATTATTAATACAGAGTTTCGAGTAATTATAAAATAAATAATTTAATTTCAAATTCTATTTATTTTAAATAGTCTTTGGATTTCATATACATAACCACCTAAGTATATAGAGCCTACATGGGTACCTACAGCGACAAATTTAGATATTTCACCTCTTTTAATTTACCTGTGAGTTACTTTCAATTACCATATAGAATTAATTTTAAATAATAATGAACAAGAACATTCCTATTTATATTGGCCTAATGGCGACAATCAAAGTAAATTTTTAATTGGTCAAAATATACTATTTACAAAAATAACGTTTATTTTTGTATCTATATGTTTGTAATTATGTATGGAAATTAACTATGTTTTTTTTTTGGCGACAACTGTTTCAACTTCGTCTGAAAGTCTTTTAGTGAATATTATAAATAATATAATATAAAGTATTCAGTATAGATAGTCAGCATAAGTGCAACGCATACCTACGTTACAAAGTATTCTGCCAGTATACCGCCAGTTGGATACTGGCGGTATACTGGCAGAACACACAAATGCAAACAATTGTCTTAAAATATGAAAGCATAGTAAGTTCATTAAAATCATCTATATAGGTACATAGTTATACAAATATTAGCGAAAATATCATATAAAATCTTATACGTCGACAATGCGCACTTGTCAACCCTGATGTTTCAGTCACCCATAGGCTACGATAACCGTTGACCATCAGATGTAAGCTTTATTTCCACCAATGTAGTGTATAAATAAATGTACACAAACATATAGTAGTATGACATATATAACGTATAAACAAACCTTTTTGTAATCGGTTGAAATCTAACGAAGTAATTATTTTATTCCCACTATTACTGCGCAGGGCGTGCTGTCGTGATCCTATTTAGTGTAACACCTGTTTGTTCGCAGGCGCTACTCAAGATCTCCTCGGCGTACCTCAACAAGAAAATACCAAATATACCCGACATAAAGGTGGACGGCGCCGAAGAGAAATGGTGCGTATTCTTATAGCAGTATGATTCAACGAACAGTATGCGCGCAATGCGACCTTTAGTTGCTAATAAATAATATAATTTGTTGTATGTAATTTATGCTCTACTTGTTTGCCGATTCAATATGTCAAATTAGTAATGCCCGCGAGTTTGTATGCGTCTACATTTGTAGTTCGCCATCTACTGATTGTGATAAAATGACAACAATTAATAAAACATCTATACGACCTCATCTAAGGTTTGATTCATTGATAAAATTGTAGGTAGCATATTAAAATTTTATATGATATTAATTAATTAATATTAATTTCTCGTTAGCCTGTTTGTTGACCCATTTTTACCAAAATATTCTGTGAAAATTTCATCGTAATTCCTCCAGTAATTCATTTACAGACGATTTTATTATATGTAAAGAAAAAGTAGATGAAGACACTAAAGATTTCAAGTAGCTGCTATTAAAGAAATTCAGTAATTAATTACGAATTATTTGCTCTCTCTCTCGAACTCTAAGCGACAGATCTACTCATTTGGTCATGTCAAAGTTCAAGCATTCCTCGACGTATGAGCTTAGCCATTAATCATGCTCAATACGATTGCTATATACAATATCTGTGTTTCGTATTCTCACCAGATATCTAGACAGAGAGCGGTACGCAAACTATGTAGACAGTTATTAGCTGCGCTGTCAACTGGGGTGGCATATAGGGTGCACGGTTTAGATACCGCATGATATCGGCTCGTAAGCATGTCCTAGATTGCGATAATGTCAATACCTAGATATTAATACACAGGCTACGATATCTACAACTATGACACCAATACATTGATATGGTTCCATATATATTAAACGATTATTACTAATATTATATATTAAACGATACTTGCTGACTCCGTTCTGGCTAAAAATTAAATATGTCCAAGGTTTTTTAAGTTTAGTTACGCATAAATTTCTGAACGCACCCTGTTTGACAGGTATCAGCAGTATAATATAAGTGTTGTTTTTACTATTTTACATGCAATTTCTTCTTATTCTATAAGTGTTTAAAACTTCCCTGGACTACCACTAATATTTCAAGACTAAAATTAGCCAAATCGTTTCAACCGTTCTCGAGTTTTAGCGAGACTAACGAACAGTATTTCATTTATATATATGAAGATTACCCAAGCCTATTAATACAGTATGTTAGCAGAAACTATATATTTTGCATAATCCCAAACTTATAAAAATTACATGTTTGTTTGTATATATTTCAATTTTAGTATACTGGTACTTTACGGGTTACTGCTAATATGAAGAATCTATACCTAACATATTTTGAGATTCCGATGTATAGATAATGTAACGACATCTCCAACCAGATTATTTACTTGATTTTATAAAACATTAAATTTATTTCATTTTGTAGTTATCACTAATGTATTATTTTATATGTATAAATAATATTATTATATAATCTATTTTATAATTTTATTGTACGAATGTATGAAAAAAAATTACACAACTGTTTTATATATAATAGTTACCACCTCGACTTCGCTCGGGTGTACATGCATTATACGTATAAATCTTACTATTGAATCACTCTATCTATTAAAAAAACACTTCAAAATCCGTTGCGTAATTTTAGGGACGGACAGTCAGCGACAACGACTTTGTTTTATACTATGTACCTAATACGTATTATATATTTTATCTACATTTAATACTAATATTGTGTAGTCTGGTTAACATATCTATAAATAGAACTGAAATGTAACCTGCATTGTATCTACTCTGTCTATCGGGTTTCGGGGATGAGTTACATAAATAATACTCGTAGAGCCACTCGATGAATATTCAATAGTTTCGTTTCAATACAGCAGTATATTCATAGAGGGTTATTAAATATTTACACTTCAACCATATTTGATATTATGACAGTAAAAAGATTTTATTTCATAACAAGTAGTTGACGGACTGCGTCGGAATTTAAAATCGCGCGAAATTCTGCTATTATTATCCGGGCTATTTTATGAAACGGTGAGAATATAAAATGTTTTCTCTCTTAATATTTATTTACAGGCACAAAAAGGTTTCATTCTGGCGTGAAAATGGGAACTGATATTATTTATTATTCCTACTATTTAATTTTTTTTATTTTTATGTCTGCAGTAATTAGAAGTTATTAATTCTTGATTGTTTATCACTTACTTGTTTACGTTTGTTATTTACTTGGATTTATAAACAGTATAATAATATATATAATTTACATACATAGATTATATTACTTATATTTAAACATCACATTATTATTCATAAATTCTTGACTTTCAATTTCTTTTGTATTAAACGAACAATTTGAAAATGAATAATAGCTGGCCAAAATTTGACTACGTGGCGCAAAGGGATTGAAGGTGAATGGCCATGCGGTAACTGTCCGTGAGTTTACAAATGAATTAATAAGTGGCTGCGGGCCCGTGACACTTGTATAAGTTTGTTTGTATGTATTGCGACCATTTTTAAAACAATATAAAATATATAATTCCATAGGGAACAATTTTTTTCTATTAAAGTGACGTAGTTTTATAGCAAAATAGGTAGTTACCTATGTTTTTAATTTGAGAAATACCAGGAATGCTGTACTCGACTATCAGAAGGATGATTTGTTGAGATACGACAATAGATCGATTGTATCTGGATTTGTAGTTGTAATTGGACGGCAAGGATTGTAATCATTTTTACTACATTTCTCTGAAATGAAGCTTTATGTAAACAGAAGAATATTATGCCATTGCCGATTCAAAATATGTATAGAATGAAGATTATTATGACATTTGATTGTTCAACTTTCACCTGCCAATTATGATAGGTACATAAAAAAACGTAAAAGTTGCCAATTTCTCGATTTAAATCTAAATATATTCATTTGGTGACTATAAAGAGAATTAATTGACACTCGATAACTCTGTCAAAATGTTATTAATTTCAAATTAAGTGGTCCTTTGGAAATCATGAATTATGAATGAACTTGTATTTTTGTGGAATAAAATCTTAAAATAACTATTTCTATCAAAATACTAGCTGCAAAACTTATTCGGTTATGACATGCTCTAACAGAAATTCACGATATGTAAAATAGAAAAATATTATATTATATTCGTAATTCTAATTAAAATCTATTCTCTACTGCTGTATAAGTGTCGTGTGTAAATATTATATATAGAGGGAAAAATTAGATTATGTATAAAAGATATTTCTGCACGTATCAATTTTCCAACTGACTAGATTGTCAGAACTGAAACATTGTCATATAGTCAGGTTGTTCTCTGTAGAACTTATAATTATAATCTACTAAGTAGACAAAGGCTATGCGTTGTCTTTCTAAAATCTCTGACAGTCATTAATTTTCTGTCATGTAGTATAGTTACTAATTACAATTGCAAATATTCTGTATTTTCCTATGATAGATTTGATGGCTCTAACTTATTTAATTATTAGTTTGGCGAGGCTTCAAAGCGAATATGATCGGTTTAGCGTCAATCCGTAGCTCACGTGTGAGTTCACATAGTTGTTTGAGTTGGACAGCAGGATACCCCCATGTAGTGGTACGCTAACTCAATAAACGGCCCGGATATTGAAAATACAGTTTGAGTTAGAAACACGTTATTACACTGGACTCCAGGTCTGAATTTCCTATACGTACTGCAACTAACTGATCACTTTAGATAAGTACTCGTACGGCCAGTTACAGTATCGCACATCCTGTTTAATAGAGTGGTAGAAAAATATATATTTCAAATTTATCCTGCATTCATATTTTTAGAATCATAGAATAAAATTACTACCTATACCTACATGAAAGTATTTGACTAAAAATACCATCAGTTCAGAAACGTAAGATGTCAACAAAAAAGAACGAAAAACAATAGTTGTTGAATCTTTCTTCATTGGTCTTTGTATAAACTTTATAAAACGCGCGAGTCTCAGACACAATTTAAACAATTTGGGTGCAGTTTCCCTAATGTATTATAAAAGCAACACTTAAAAAATAGTGTTTGCTTTTTATCTATTAGATTACAAACAAAAAATACAAGGGTATGTAGTTGAAATATTTGTAATATCAATGACTTCAGTTTTGTTTAATATTAAAGTCACTATGTTCGGAGGTGCATGCATAAATTGTCTGTCTAAAAACTAACGGATTATGTTTTATGGAATTATATGACTTAGTCGCCTTCTATCCATCGACAGGGAATTCCTTCTGATACCTGGTATGTAAATGATCACGTACAGTACGGTTTTAAGAGAAATTTCCTCCAGCGATGTGCTATGTGCCGAGTTTTTCTCTAAAGTAAACAGCTAGGAATTAAAAAGGGTATCTAAGGCGTCCGTGGGCTACAACCCATTAAAGGCGCACTGTATGGTACGACTTTGTCCTCATAAAAGGATCACATTACCCAGTTGTTACCATGTTGTGTTAACTTTTACACAAGTGCGATATGCTTTATTTTCCGTAATCAGCTTCTTCGATATCATAGGGCTGAAAAGGACTGATATTATATTACTACATTTTTCTCATAAGGATCCTCTTCCACGTTTTACTAATGTTTTTTTTAATATTAAGTCCGTAACTGATATGAGATCTCCATGGTTTTACATATAGTGTATAAACAACGGTTACATTATAATATTATACGGATCATAAGTTAAATCACTACTACCGTCTTTGCATAGAAATATATAATAATTTTAAACCTTTGAACGACAGAAATCTTCAAAATGAATTTTCATATTCTAACTTCGTTTCTCGTGGAAAGTTCCTCGACTTTATGAATAGACGCTGTCACTGGATTCCGGGTAGCTATAATACGCGCTATCAATGAAATTACCGTTTCATAGAGCTCTGAATATTATATTCTTTTTAAATATGTTTGACTAATTTATTCGCATTATTGCATTTCAATACATTTTTACCGACCGCAATTGATAGTTATCGAGACTATTGACGCCATTGCTAATAATA